TGTATTAAGGCCTATTATTTAATGTTAGTGTCCTGAGCCTGGCGTGGTGGTGCACACCTTTAATCCCAGTACTTAGGAGGCAAAGGCAGGCAGATCTCTGTGAGTTCGAGGCCAGCCCAACCTGGTCTACATAGTGAGTTCCAGGTCAGCTGGAGCTACAGAGAGACCCTGTCTTTAAAAAAAAAAAAAAAAAAAAAAAATTAGGAATAAATGTGCAGCTTTTGATGTCATTGAGAATGATCCCTCATTACAGTTTGAAATGATACCGGTAGTTTAATGGTAGTGAAGGAGGTTATCATTTCTGAAATATCGAGCCAGTGACCTTAGCTATTCAGTTGTGATTAAAGGCCCAATCTAACCTTTTATTGAATGTGATATTTATTAAAAATGAAGCTCCTCATTTCCATTACTTAATCAATAGCACACTAAGCCATGTGTTAATATGATTAAAGGAGGCATTGTACTAGATGCTCTGCTCCCCTGTTGTCATGTTTAATTCTAATAACCAGGAAGTAGCTTTCTCACCTAGATACAGTCAGATCCATTTAATACTATGCTTATAACCTTTATGAGACATAGGAAAGAACATTGAAAATTCACAGCACTGTGGAGGCCAAGGTAAGAGGATCCGTATGAGCTTGAGGCCAGCTTGGGCTGTGTGGTGAGATGGCCTCAAAAAAGCAAAGGGTGCTGGTGTGATGGCTCAAGTAAAGGCACTTGCTGTGCAATCCTGGAACCTGAGTGTGGGCCCCAAAACTCTCATAAGGGTGGAAAGGGAGAACTGTCTCCATTAAGTTGTCCTCTGACCTCCACATGTGCTCCATAGCACACATGTACCCCTCATGATATGTAAACACACATTGTACACAATAATAAGTAATTTTTTTTAAATAGATAAGGGAGTTATTGGAGAGATGGCTGCATGGTTAAGAGCACTGGCTGCTCTCGCAAAGGACCCAGGTTCAGTTCCCAGCACCCACACGGCAGCTAACAAGTGTCTGTAACTCCAGTTTCAGGGGCTCTCATGCCCTCTTTGCCTCCATGGGCACTGCATGCGTATGGTGCACTTAGGAAAATGCTTGTACATATAAAATAAAATAAACAAATATAAATAAGTAGGTAAGTAAGTGGGCTAAAGAGGTGGCTCGCTGGTTGAGCACCTGCTGCTCTTTCAGGGACCCGGAGTTGGTTCCCAGCACCCACATTGTGCAACCGGCCTCCCCAGGCATGCACACATACAATAACAAAAATAAAATCTTCAAGTAAGTAAATGAGCAAGCAAACAGAATTTCAGGATGAATATAATGGCTGCTTCTGAAAGAACAGCTGCTTTAAATTTTGTGTGTTTACTATTGTGTTTCAGATACCAGGGTTTAGTACAGGTGACGTGTTAGGAAGTACAGAAGAAATGCAGGCCATCATGGTGTTGGCAGGGAAAGGGCCTGTGACTGAAGGAGAGAGAAAATGCAGGTGGGAATGGAGACCCCTCCCTCTCCCTGCAGCCCTGTCTGTAGTGAAGTAGAAACAGTGCCTGACTCCTAGGCACACAGCTCACTAAATGTCATACAGGTCCCCTTCCAAAGTGAGGGTCCTGTTAGCCCGGCACCTGGGCAGTGCCCTGTCTGATGTCCCAGGTGCACAGCTCTTGCTGCTGCCAGAGGGACATGGGAGCTGAACTGTGGTGACAGTAGCTGCTTTCCTGTGAATAAGCTGTAGTCTGCCTCACCATCACTAAGGGACAGTCTCATCGCCAACCTTCAGGGGAGGAAACAAAAGGTTTCCTTACCCTTTGAAAGTTTTTGCCACATTGGATGCCATATGAAGAAGCCCTTGTAATCCCGACGCATTTCATTCTTGCACTGTCCCTGAAAGGGGTATTATCCCTTTCAGAGGAAAGTGCTAAAGGTCAGAAAGCTCACTTGCCCAGCATCGCAAAACTTTGAAGTGACATATCCATGTCCAGGTACAGGCCATTTGACTCAAGCCTGTGTTCCCAACCACTGGAATGGAATGTCAGCAGAGAGCCACCCAGTAAATCACACTGGACCAGATGGGGAGGGAAGAGAGGCAGTCAGCTAAAAATTGCTTACTAGCGCCATCCCCAGAGGCTGCCCCAAAGAGAAGATGGAAGGGAGATTAGCAGTAAGAGGCAGAAGTCCACCTCATTCTTGGGGGCTGAGGGATGCTCGGGCTTGAGAGCCTTGACCTCTTCTGAAGGAGCAGTTAATGGGAACCTTCAGGAAGCCTCTGATTTACAGTAGCTGTAGACAGCTGCTCTGCTGTCCACAGGCAGCCGGGCTCTGCGGCTGGCCTAGCTGCGGTGTTTCTGAGCAAGTCATCGTGCTCTCAAATGAGCCCCCAACCCGTGGTCGGATCAGGAGCAGCCTGGCGGGGAGCAGGAGACTATGACCACAAGGCCCTGTGTCCTGCATCTGCTGCATGCCTTCCTGTCCTGCTTGCTTATCTCCCTCTGGGGATGCCCCAGAACGCTCTGCCAAGCTTGCCAGACTCCCTGCATTTTCAGTATCTAAGAAACAGAGCACTAGTAAATGTCATGCCAGAGGCTATTACTAAAGCCTAGTAGTAGGCTTTAGTAATACTTCTCTGTGGGTGAGAGAAAACACTTAGTCCCAGAACTGAAAGATTTTTGACACCTTGTAAAGAAAGGTCACATGTCCCCCTTTATGCCCTTCCACCCCTGCGCTCACTGTGGGCCCTTGGTGGCCCATCTGCACCCAGAAAACTGATCTCTCAGTCCCCTCTAGTGTATTGTCCATGACCTACCCCATGCTTCACTTGTCAAATGGGGGTGGGTGCCCCTTCAGTATCACCTCTGATAGACGCAATGGTCTCAGACGCTGACACTAGATCTTCATGTAGACAGACCAGCAGCCAACCAGCTGAACTGGACAGTGTTCCTGGGGCCATGGAAGGGCTCTGGGCCCATGGGACTCTCGGTGGCCACCTTCCTATGCGTCTCTGTTCCCAGGCCTGGGCCTGTGGAAGCATTCTGCAGCGTGGCTGCCCTTTATAACCTCCTGCTTACGGCCAACTCGCTTGGTGAGGTGTGTTTCCACTTTTAGAATTAGAGGTTGAGTTAGAGGTGATTTTGTCTTTGGTTTGTAAGAATTAATGTGTATTAAGCCTTCTTGGTTAAAAACAGTCAGTGGATGTCACATACCTTTCCCTCCTTCCGTACTCTCTGGCGGGGTTCAGCTCAGCTAACGGGTTCAGAGGCTAAGGAATCCTCTGCTATTTCAATTTCAGCACAGCACAGTGAGCCGGGAGAGACAGACGCTCTCATTCCATCTGATAGCAGCGCTCCCCAGCAAACACAGTTGCTATTGATGTACATAATTGATCACTTTATTAACTGTGGAAAAAGGAAGCCTTATTGTGGTAATAAAGCATAACTTCATTATATCCTGTATGCAGAGGGCAAAAACGTTGGAATGTGGCTGACAGGTTCCCATTTCAAGGCTGATTCTGATAATGATAGTGTTTAAGTACCATTGATTGTTTGCTAATTGAATTTTTCTTTCTTTAGGCCTCTTCTGAAGAGCTAAAGGCTGCCTACCGGAGGCTGTGTATGCTCTACCATCCTGACAAGCACAGAGACCCAGAGCTCAAATCACAAGCCGAACGGCTGTTTAACCTTGTTCACCAGGCTTATGAAGGTCAGTGAAGAGCTTGGCTTCACGGGAGCACCCTGGCAGTGCATATTCGATTTCTAAGAGACTTGATTTGTAGAGGAGGGAGAAAGAGTCCTTAGAGGTGTGTAAAAGAGGTAGTTAGTTTAGTACTTTCTCCTGACAGTCCTTTGAAAGAGTAGTATTTTGCTTTGGAAATCAATATGTGTCCAGTAAGTAGAAAATGAGAGTCCAGGTGAAGTAGTGGACAGGGTCTGAACTGCAGGGGATACTTGAGCTCCGAATCATTTTTTGATGTCTTCTGAAGGGAGCGCCGAGGGAGAAGGCTGAGCATTGCAAGGAAGCTTCCTTTGTTCCTTTTCTGTGAGACACTGCAAGGGCTTTTTAAAGTCCAATCGTGATTTATCGGTTCCGTAGCTGTCGGTAAAAGAAAGGCTCTAACAAAAGATGATGGTGTGAGCAGACTGACAGGACACAGAGCCTAGTTATTCAGGAATTTATATTTAGAGCTTTTATATCAAGGAAGGAAAATTGTGCTGTTTATAAATATTAAAGTCTCCTTGGGAAGGTGAGCGGCCGTGGAGTCAACCTGAGGGTGGCTTCCTGGTGCCAGCAGTCAGTGCTGCTGAATGGTGCGTCTCACAATGATGAAAACTGTAACTGTCGGGACTAGAGAGACGACTCAACAGTTAAGAGCACTGGCTGTTCTTACAGTGGACCCAGCCAGGTTCAAATCCCAGCACCCACATGGTGGCTCACAACCCTCCATAACTCCAGTTCCAGGGTATCCAGCACCCTCTTCTGATCTCCCTGGGCACTCAATGACACAGGTGCACTTACACACATGGAGGTAGTGCACTCGTACACATAAAAGAAGAAAATTGTAAAATATCTTACCACAACTCAGTCTTAGGACATACATCAGGCAGAATCAGTTACTCATTCCAAAACCCTTTGGTGACCCGTTCCTTAACTAGAGACCAAAAATTAGATAGTGTGTTTCTTTATGAAAGAATAAAGATGTTTCACTGTAGGCAGTACAGCCTCTGGTGTGTTTCACTTTAGAGGCTTTTTTTTTGTTTTTGTTTTTGTCTTTTTGAAACAGGATCTCCCTGTAGCCCCAGCTGTCCTGGAACTCACTATGTAGACCAGGCTGGCCTCGAACTCACTGCCTCTGTTTTTGTCTTTTGTCTTTTTGAAACAGGATCTCCCTCTAGCCCCAGCTGTCCTGGAACTCACTATGTAGACCAGGCTGGCCTCGAACTCACTGCCTCTGCCTCCCAAGTGCTGGGATTAAAGGCATGTGCCACCACGCCCGGCCTCACTTTAGAGTTTTTAACCAAGAAGTTAGATTTTAGTGACAGAAAAAATCAGGCCATGGCACATGATGGATGACTAGTCCGTCCCGTGTCACGACCCAGTGTGACTCTAATCAGACTAAGAAAGCCTGCTCACTGTTCCATTGTTTAGAGCACTGCAGCAGTCATACTGTTGTCTAATTATGCATGTAGCCGCTTGTGGTGTTGTAGAGGTTGGAGGACAAGTTAGCAGAACAACACAAAGTGCTGCCGCAGCAGACCTGCCCCATGCTTCAAGAGGGAGATGAAGCAAAGTACCGAGTAGACGTTTCCTTATTAAATCTTAGCGTTCAGCTCAAAAGGTTTGGCTCCGGTGTTTCCCAGTGGTCAGCACTTCTTTCTTACCCATTAGATTTAATTATGGATAGACTCATTTACATCACCTTTTAATTAGACTTAAAAGTGTATATAAACTCTCCTGGGAGAAAAGATGCAAAGGTCCTGAGTAGAACGTGAGGTAGAGGAGGGAGACGGTGACTGAACGGCCCGGTGTTCAATCTCAGTGTGGGTGGCCTCCAAATAACTCTTGCCCTTGCCCAGGAATCTTTTTCTGATTAGGTGGTGTGGCCAACAACATTGTGAGAGGTGTTCATGTCTTTTTAATTTACAATGCCAAGTATGGTAGCACACGCCTGTAATCCCAGCCCTTGGAAGGTGGAGGCAGGAGGATCAGGTCAGGGCCAGTTAATGAGTTTGATCCTGGACTACATGAGACCCTAACTAAAAACAGAACAAAATAGATATATAAGGGCACTAATGAATCTCTCAGTTCTCATAATGAAGCCCCTTATGCAGCAGAGGGCCAGGAACACAAAAGGTCACAAACGGCCAAAGTGGAGAGATCAAGAGTCTGCTGAATGCTGGTCCTTGGACAGGACCCTTTATTAAACTTCACCCACCCAGGCCTCAGGGACCATCACAGAAGAGGGGTGGAAAGATTGTAAGAACCAGGGAGGAGGTGCAGGACCATATGGACACAGAGTGCTACAAGCTCCTGGGAACCTGCTCAAATGATCCTGTGGCAATGGTGTCAGCATACACAGGTCCCGTGCAAACTCACGCAGACAGTAACCCGGCATAGAACTAGGAAAATGAACAGCAGACCTCGATCTTTTCTGAAGGAATGTTGGCAGCTGATTGCTGCTAGATGAAGAAGAGCTGATCTTCCTAAAGCAAGGGACTCTCTGCATAGGCTGACTAGACTCAGTGGACGGACTTGCACTGGGAAATGGCTGGGAACACTGACAACCCAGTGGGTCTTAACAGGGATGACAGAGTATATGGGCCCAGTGGGGGTGCTGTGGGAGGGTGCCAGTGGGGACAGCGGTATAAAGATGATTAAGACTGTTTGAGGTATTCTGTATGAAATACACAAAAAAACTCAATAAAAAATAATAATAAATTTTAAAAGTAGATATATAAAGAGTACACCAAAAACACGGAGTATCTTAGGGATTAATAATACTCTGAAGGAAATAAGGCACCCTTCTGTGAAAAACCAGAATTGACTGTCAATCCAGAATGCACTGCACAGCAGAACAGAGACAAGCCAAGTTGCTTTAGAAACAGCCCATCCCTGCTGGACACAGTGGTGTTTGCCACTGTCCCTGAAGGCGGAGATGGCAGGACCAGAAGTTCACGGTCATCCTTAGCTGTGTAATGAATCGACTTCAACATTGTCTGTTTAAGACTAAAATCAAAGCCAAGACCAGAGCAGCTATCATCTAGAACCTTGGGAACCAGCACCACCTTTTGAACGGTGCACCTCTACCCTGTCCTTAGAGTGAAGAGAAGATTGGGTCCTGGGAAAATCCAGCTTTCTCAGTTTTCCCAGAAAGCAAATTCAGTCAAGAAAGAAAGTCTCCAGCAAGATTGTGGCTAGACAGGAAAGATGAGGGCTGGGCTTTCCTAATAACCTTGTTGCTCAGGTTTTCAGGACTAAAAGGAACATTCGTTTGTGTAAACATGTTTGTTTGTTTTTTTTTTAATTGCAGTGCTTAGTGACCCCCAAACCAGGGCCATCTATGACATATATGGGAAGAGAGGACTGGAAATGGAAGGCTGGGAGGTAAGAGACTGTGTGTGATGACTGGGAAGTGTCAGGATACAACTGCACAGCTCCACCCCACAGCCATCCTTCAGAGGCCTGTGATAGGTAGGGTCTTGAAGGCTATTTGAGACACTAGAGTCCCCCGCTGGGACTTCTGCATTTCAGAGGTTGAGTTCTAGACCTGTCAGTGAAAGGAGGGGTGGTGACAGTGCAGGGCTGTGTAGCGGTAGGGGTGGGGCAGTGCTTCAAGAGTGCAGCTCTGTGTGCACACACTTCCTCCTGCCCTCCACAGTCTGTGCTGGCCTCTCCGCCTTCATTAGGAATATTGCATTTAGGAGATGTGTCTGCTGGGAACTGCTGTGCGACACTGCTTCTGGCGACCCTTCCTGTTTAGTGCACTGCAGTGTTAGAACATTGTCGCCCAGGGTGCGAAACCAGGTGGCTGGAGTCCCTGAGAGCTGTGAGGACAGACACTGGGCTTCTGGGACCTCTGATTCTGTTTCCTCCACTCACGACCCACTGCTCCTGCCCAGTAGCAGAAGCATGAGCAGGTCCTTCACGCCCCTCGCTGTGTTTCCGTGCGTCTGAAAAATGGGAGTGTGTAGGAAAATGAATGTGGAAATTAACTGCAAAACCCCAGATTGCTACAGAATTGTATAGGAGTTACTGTTAATTGTTTTTGAAGGCCTCCATGCTGGTACCCATGGGGTTTTGTCAGATTGTTAGTAACATCAGCATCGTGTAAGATCTCCCTTGACGTTCTTTTGGTGTTTATCCTCAAAAGCTTGTTCTGTGTCTTCTGATCCTAGCGTACACCCATCCAAAGGCCTGAGGGTGGAAAGGGGGGATTCTAGTCCCTGTTCCTTCCTGCTTGACACTGGCAGCCTGTGGGCCTCGTTCTGCTTGGAGTCATGTTTTGATGACACAGTGACTGTAGCTGCTAACACCAAGGCCCAGGAGGTTTTGTGTGGATATCCAGTCAGTTGTCAACCTCTTGAAGCACCAGATTAGACACTGGATCTAAATTCCCCCACGAGGTGATGATCTGCCAGATGTGGGGAGCCCTGCCCTTTAGGCTGGCCTTTGCTTATACTTTGTCCCGTTCCCCACTGCCCCCTATTGTTTGTCATGAGCCCTTTGCTTCTCTGCATGTCCTTCCTGGCCCCAGTAGGCAGGTGTAGGCAGGCATTTGCGTTTGATTTGTGACCTCTGGCTTCCTGGAAATTGTAGTGCCTGGGCTGGCTTATTATGACTCAGTGTTAGCTTGATGGCTTGTGTGTCCAGAACCTCCCTCATGCTCTGGACCTCTTTAAAGTGCCCTTGCCCTTTAAGACACCAATTGGCCACAGGTGTTCAAGGCATCAGTTAGAGGCTAAAAGCTCTGGTCCCTTTACATAGTCCCACTTCCCAGGTTGGGGTTTTATTCCCAGCAGTGTTACTACAGCTCTACTGGAACAGTGGGATCTTCTGGCAAAGTGCTGCATAATTTCCTTCTCGCCATATCAGAAGATGTCCCACTAGAAACGCAGTGGAGCCGCATCCACAGGACACAGATGGTCACCAGTAGCCAGTGAGGAGGCTTTGTGTGCATAGGGGGTTTCTTTGTTTTGGTCTTTTTGAGACAGGGTCTCCCTGTAGCCCCAGCTGTCCTGGGACTCACTTTGTAGACCAGGCTGGCTTTGAACTCACAGAGATCCACCTGCCTCTGCCTCCCGAGTGCTGGGACTAAAGGCGTGTGCCACCACGCCCGACTTATTTTTTGTTTTTATGTGTACAAGTGTTATGCCTGCATGTATGCAAGTGCACCCATATTGTGCAATGCCTGTGGAGGTCAAAAGAGGGTGTCGGAGCCCCTGGAACTGGAGTTAGGTACAGTTATTGATAGGTGAATTGGGTCAATCAGGAGAAAGCACCAGGACACAGACAAAACTCCAGCGGGATAGAGTTTATTAGCAGAGGAAAAGTGCACAGGACAATTCCCTTTGGGATAGGGAAGTTGTCAGTCTACAGGTTGTGGGCTGGGGGTCTTTATAGGGGGGCTTCAGGGGATGCAGAAGATGGGAACATATATTTTTTAAAAAAGTTAGGTGGGAGAGAGGGGTTATGGGGTAAGGAGTCTACATTATAAAACTTATCAGGGGGAAATAGCTTGTACCAAGACAGTTCCTACATTAATGGATCCAGTGTGCAGGAGCCTGTTTTGCTTCCAAGATCATTAAAGGAGAAGCAGGCTGTCTTTGAGCAAAGGTGCAGAGAGTCTGCTTATCTTGTCTTCAAAGACCAGGGTGCTCATTAACTCAGTTCCTGCATTCTTAGGGGCTTGCAAAACCATGAGGCCCTCTTGGGGAGGGGGCTGCTGCAGATCTGAACCCTAACAGTTGTTAGCTGTCCATGTGGGTGCTGGGAATCGAACTGGGGTCCTCTGCAAGAGCAGTCAGTGTTCTTAACTGCTGAACCATCTCTCCAGCCCCAATATGCATAGTTTTTTGGGAACTAAGGAAATAAAATTCTAGGTCAGAATTGACTTATTTTTCATATGATACTAAGTCTGCAAGATAAGCCAGCACTCTGGAGGCAGGAACAGGAGGATTGCTAATTGGAGGCTAGCCTGAGCTGCATAGTTGCAGGCCAGCCTCAGGATCCGTAGCAGACCTCAGGAAAGCAGACAAAAAGATAAAGGTGTCCTGAGGTATTTGCAGTGCCTAACTTTCAGCAGGACATCAGCACCTGTTCACATACAGTGTCTCCTTCCTTCAAGGACCGGCTCCAGCAGATTGGGGTGTTTTCACAGACTCACCACCACAGAAGTAGCTTTCACTCCAGGAAAGGCCCAGGATCCTTTTCATTGTGTGGCTAGTTTCAGAGTGTCAGTCTTTGTTGCTTGGTGAAGGGAATCTTTTTACATTTATTGCAGTAAACATCTGGGTAGTCTGTAAAGGATGGGGGTCCTTGTTAAGGCAGAGTGTCTGAGATGCACTCCAGGTCTCAGCTGTAGTCCAGTCCATTTAATGGCAGGTGCTGGGGGTGAAGTGGGGCTCTCCTTTTTGGTCACTAGGTAAATTTTCACTTTTTTTTAAACCCTCAAGATTTCAAAGCAGTAAATAGATGTGGTCATTCCTAGCTTGTGAGCTTAGTGCTTCGAGTTTCTGGAGCTGCCTAGCATGTTGGTGCCACTGCCCACAATGAAAACAATGAAAACAAAATCTTTTTTTTTTTTTGGTCTTGAGACAGGGTCTCCCTGTAGCCCCAGCTGGCCTAGAACTCAGTGTGTAGACCAGGCTGGCCCTGAACTCACAGAGATCCTCCTGCTTCCACCTCCTGAGCCCTGGGATTAAAGGTGTGCACCTCCATGCCCCGCTTGAAAACAAAATTTTTTTCAGAAAAAGTCTTAACTGTGAGCACTTTACTGATGTCCGGACAAGTGATGACTGACAGGTCCGGTGGAGACACATAACTCAGCTTACCTGCAAACCACACTTAGATGATGATCACATTTAGAGTTTAGAGGCACACTTCCTTTGGTCTGGGACATCTACATGTTTTCCTTCCTCTGTGTCTGTGATGGCAGTCTAAGAATGTCTAAGATTGGCCTCTGTGGAAAGATGTAATATGGTCAGAGTCACCAGAAGAGAAGTTTTGAGCTGTTACAGAGCAGACGAAGTCGTGAGCATAGGCGCAGGCTTGTTTGCTAGTGGGAAAACTTGAGAAACCTGAAGTCTGATTAGGTTAATAGAAAGGTGCTGACCTGTGTAGGCTTGATAGCTGTCCCCGATTGGTCTAATGTTAGCATTAACACAGAGCTTGGTGGCACACACCTTTAATCCCAGGAGAGGCAGAGGCAGGTGGATCTCCATGCCTTCAAGGCCAGCAAGGTCTACATAGTAAGATCCTGTCTCAAAAAACAAAACCTGTGTTAGCACTGGGGGAAGCCCAGTGAAGGGTGTGCTTCTTGTACTGCCTTTGTAACATTTTTGAAATTCTAAATAATTTTCTGAAAATTATTCTGAAAAGGTTCGGTAGGACCCTTGAATTTTCAGATCAGAACACACCTTGAGAGCTGTGTAGCTTGGCCACTCTGTTTCACAGTATCCCAGGACTCAGGTGAAGGTTTCAGTTCTCTTTCCATTCACCACCTGCCCTGGGCAGTTGTTCAGTCTTCTGGGCTAGCCCAGGATGGCCTCATGGTGAGTGCTCAGGTGGACACAGGCTTTTGTAGGGTCGCCAGCTGCATACGATACACTGAGAATCAGAGAACGTGTCCAGTGTTGACCCAGCACAGCACAGCTAAGGTGTTGTGCTGCTCATGCTCAGGGCCACCCTCGCCCTGGACCAGTCCAGCATTGTTGCAGCATCAGTGAGGAGGTGAGCCACCCTAGTAGTAGCAGAGTTTGTGGGTGCCTAGGGGAGTATCTGCCCAGGAAGCACCCTCTTCATCCTGGAGGGACCAGCCTTTTTTTTTTTACATTCTCTTTTTTGGGGGGAGGGGCGCCTTTTTGAGACTGGGTCTCCTTGTAGCCATAGTTGACCTGGAACTCACTATAGACCAGGCTGGCCTTGAACGCACAGAGATCCACCTGCCTTTGCCTCCTGAGTGCTGGGATTAAAGGTGTGTACCGCCATGCCCAGCCTTTATTTATTTCTTTATTTTTTAATTGTTATTTTTATTTTATGTGTATGTATGTATTGCCTGTGTGTATGTGTGTGAGTGCACCCATGTCCTGCAGTGCCCAAAGAGGTCAGAAGAGGGCGTCAGATTCCCCTGGAACTGGAGTTATAGACGTTTATTAGCCACCATGTGGGTGCTGGGAACCAAACCCAGGTCCTCTGGAAGAGCAGCCAGTGCTCTTAACCCTTAACTGCTGAGCCATCTCCAGTCCTGGGACCAGCTATTTTAACTTGGCATTTGGTTTAACTTGTATGTGTAGAATTTGGCAAAACAGGAGCACAAATGAAAGGACATGGTGACTGGCCTGTTGTTCACTATCGCTTATCACAGGCTGCAGCAGAGGAGTAATTGCAGCTTATCATTCAGTCTGCCCAGCTCTGATCCCAGCCCATGCTTGTCTACCCACCTCCCCTTTCTTTCTCTTGGGGGCTGAGAATTGTCAGCCATGAACAGGACCCTTAGAGGTCACGTAAGACAGTGTCCTCTTCAGAGAAGAGGTACCTGAGGTCCACGGTGACCTTGCCCTCGTGATTCGTCTCAAGTACCTTGTCTTCCTGTTCACTGCACTAAGAGGCCATGGTGGGATGCCCTAGTCTCTCACAGACTTGACCTTGTGGTGCATCCCTGAGTTTCTGTCTGCTGTTTCATCCCCAAGTATTAATTGGACTAAGACTAAAATGTTGCTGACAAGCTGTATGCTGAGGTCTTGTAGGAAGAAGGGCCTGCGATTCTTAAACACCCATCCCTCACCTGACTGGAGATCCTGAGTCCACAGTGTGTCTCACTAACAGCATTTGTGGTCAGAGACTTGTTAGGAAATTTGAACTGTAGGATTTTAAAGAATGTCATTCTCTAGAGGCAGGCAAATCTCTATGAGTTCAAGGTCAGCCTGGTCTACATAGTGAGTTCCAAGCTAGCTGGGGCACCAGGGAGAAGACTAAAACATGAATAGATAATAAATGTCATTCTCTGAAGAACCGAGAGACAACACAAGCTAGGAAGGGTCTGGAGGGCAGCAGAGCCTTGCTTCCTTCACGGGGCACGGGGTCGGTGGTGGAAACTGCAATTCCTTCGGTGTCTCTTGGCAGGCGAGGGGGGCGGCGCTGGGCATCATGTGCACGTCAGACCAGTATGTCCGATTCTCCATGTGTGTCCCATGTTCTGTTCCCAGGTGGTGGAGAGAAGGAGAACCCCAGCTGAGATCAGAGAAGAGTTTGAGAGGCTGCAGAGAGAACGGGAAGAGAGGAGGCTGCAGCAGCGAACCAACCCCAAGGTAGGCAGCACCATCTCACTGAGGGACGGCCTGCTTTTGGAAACAGTTAGATGGTGTGGGTTTTGTAACCAACAGCATACAACACTGTGTGGAACAGAACTTCACTATTGCTCTCAAAGTGACGTCTTACTGGAAACTTCTGTAGCTGTTGGTAGAGCTGATACTGGTGACCTAGAGACCAGCATTTCTCAGATTTTCCCAGAAGCCCTGCTTTCCTGGGCAGCAGCTCACACTAGCTCTCTTAAGACCTTTACCTTCAGATTTGCTGCCTGAACCCTTGGTAGTAAAGGTCAGTGAGATACAGTACTAGGACAGGGTGCCCACCTGACTGTCTGAGCACCAAGCAGCAATTCCTTGTGTGCCCATCAGGCTACAGAGGGCATTGCAGATGGCACTGAGCAGGGCCTCTGCCTTTGTCACCTCAGCACAGTGATGCCATGACTACTGTCTCCAGATTGACTCAGCAGCCAGATGACTGCAGTCTCAGGTGGAGGTAGAGTTGTCCCACCCAATGACACTGCAGAGCAGGCCCCTTGCTCGGTCTTTGTCCACTTGCTGGGGAGATGGTTTCAGATTCCGGGCTGTGCCCTGGCCAGGTGGCAGATGCATATCTGCCCATTAAGTTTGAGATGCCCATTGTACTGAGCACTAATTGATTGTGGCCTGGTGTCCCATTCAGTATTGTGACCTCATAAGAGGACTCACCAGCTGGCCCTGTCAGAGTTGCTGGATGGCCCAGCTATGGCTGTTACAGCCTGGACTGTGATGATAAGGACCTAGTAGTCTCCCTCCCGCCCTTCCCTTGCCTCTTTTTTTCATAAATTAAAAAAAAAAAAAACTTTTTTTTTTAAATTTTATGTGTATGAGTTTTGTCTGCATGTATGTCAATGTACTACTACATGCCTACCATGCCCAAGGAAGCCAGAAGAGGGTGTCAGATCCCCTAGTTTTTAGCTGCCATTTTGGTGCTGGGAACTGAACACAGGTCCTCTATAAGAGCAGCCAGTGCTCTTATCCACTGTGCACCTCTCCAGCCCCTTGCTTGCTCTTGAAGCAATCTATCAACGCAGCCACATGCTTGGAGGGAAGAGGGACCAGGCAAAATAACACAGCATCACAATTTAATTCTCCTGGAGTCATGCCAGCTTAAACTGGGAAGCACAGGTGAACCTCTGACCAAATCCATCTAGAATTAGTTTTAGAAACACTAGCTTTTAAAGGACTGTTTTCAGGGCTGGAGAGATAGATGGCTCAGCAGTTAAGAGCACCAACTGCTCTTGCAGAGGACCGGATTTTGATTCCCAGCACCCACATGGCGGCTAATAGCTGTCTACAACTCCAGTTCCACAGGAATCCAATGCCCTCTTCTGATTCCACAAGCATTGCATGACACGGGTACACTCACACATGCACTCACATGCAGGCAATGTATGCATACACATAAAATAAAAATAAATAATTTATTTTAATTTTATTTTTATTTTATGTGTATGCCTGTATCGCCTGCTTGTAGGTAAGTGCACCTGTGTCGTGCAGTGCCCAAGGAGGGCAGAAGAGGCTGTCTGATCCCCTGGGACTGTCAGAGTTAACCGACAGTTGTTAGCTGCCATGTGGGTACTGGGATTCGAACCCAGGTCTTCTGCAAGAACAACCAGTGTTCTTAACTGCTGAGCCATCTCTCCAGCCCCTAAATAAATTTTTTTTTAAAAGGACTGTATTTTCTGAATAGGAGTACCTATTTGAATTTTGCATTTCAAAGTGTGTACAAGTCTGGTGTAATCTCAGCACGATGCCCAGGTAGAAGGATTGCTATGTGTTCAAGGCCAGCCTGGGCACCTTGTCAAGGATGACCTTGTCTCAAAAAGGAGAAAAAAAAGTATACACAGTCAAGAGCTGGTGATATACCTCAGTGGTGGAGCACTTGTCTACCAGGTGTTCAATCCCCAGTATCTGGATGGAGGAGGGTGGTGTGTATAGTCAGTGGGTCTGGTAGCACACGCCTGAAATCCCAGCTACTTAGAGAAGAAGAACAATCTTGAGTTCAAGGCCATCCTGACCTTGTCTCACAATAATTTTTTTTAATGGAGGGGTATCTGGAAATACAGCTCTATAGTAGAGTACCTAGCATGCACAGGGCCCTGGGTTCAGTCCCCAGCATTGCAGAGCACACACACACTCACACATACATTGGTTGACTGAATCCCAGAGGGACTGGTTATAGGACCTCTCAGATAACACATTCACTCCACAGTCCCCTGTAAGGGGGGGGGGGATTCATATAACCTAGATACATTTTCCTGTGTTTAAAATCCTCTCCAGGCCTGAGGATAGAGCTCAATGCTGAAGCACTGCCTGGTGTGTGTGGCTGTAGGTTCAGTCCCCCACCCCAAAAAAGTCATTTTAGAGTACTTATAATAATTTGACTAGTTCTTATACTGTATTGTTTCAGGAGTTAAGACAAGAAGACCAGGAAAAGGAATCTGTACGTGTTCCATAGGGATGCTTTTATTTTGTTTCCTGAGTATTTTAAATGCATACTTGAATACACAGATGTGTACCTGTGGATATAGCAGGGCAGCTGTATTTGTGATGACCAACACCTCCCCTCCCATCAGGCCCCCAACGGATGATGCCTTCAGTCCTTCAGAGTTTTGGACAGAGGTGTTAAAGAATCAAATCAGAAGGCTGAACTGAGTCAGGGGCTGGAGGTAATTAGAGTCAGAAGCAGGAGTGCTCCAACTGTGCCAGGAATTCCCAGCAGAGATCTTGGGCACTGGAGAGGGTCTGTTCAGAAGGTCAGTGTTGGTCCATGGAGGTGGGGAAGGGGTGGACTGGCAGGAGCAGACTTTTGCCTTGAGAGCTTGGCATTATCTGGGGTTTGCTGCATCCAAGCAGTGAGTGACAGGAAGCAGCTCACTCCTGAGCGTGCGTCCTACGGTCAGGTGTGCTTGTCAGTCACTTACGGGGACTCTATAGATGTGTCTGCAGGCCATGTTTCTGTGCAGTGAGGGACAGGTGGGACCACTTCACACAGGGTACAAGTTATACTTAAGTTCCCAGTGTTTTACTACTTGTTGTTTGTTTGAGACAAGGTCTCACTAGGTAGACCAGGCTGGCCTCTAATTCACAGAGATCCACATGTCTCTGCTAGAATTAAAGGCATGCGTCACCACTGCCAGCCTTGCTTCTATAAACTGCTTATAAACAAACAGAAGCACTTCCCAGCCAGGAACACTGCTAATAGCAGTAGTAGCTGGACGTTGTGCTGCCAGACTGGGAGAGAGAACTCGAGCTGCGAGTCCATTTACAGGGACTTTAGGAGCAGAAAGTTTTGGAAACTCCTCCTCCAAAGAAGAAAGGGTGCTTCCCTTAAAATAGAGGGAAGCCAGACATGGTAATGCGTGTCTCTCATCCCACCATTCGAGAGACTAAGGCAGGAGAGTCATGACTTCAAGGATAGTCTGGGCTACTTAGAAAGCCTTTGTCTTTGAAAAAATTATTGGTTTGATTTGGGTTTTGGGGGGGGGGGTTCTTTTTAATATTCATTATTTTCATTTTATGTGTATGCATGTATTGCCTGTGTGTAGGTAAGTGCACCTGTGTCGTGCAGTGCCCATGGAGGGCAGAAGAGGCTGTCGGGTCCCCTGGGACTGGAGTTATTTATAGACAATTGTTAGCTGCCATCTGGGTGCTGGGATTTGAACCTGGGTCTTCTGCATGACCAGCCAGTGTTCTTAACCGCTGAGCCATCACTCCAGTCCCTGATTTGGGTTTATTTTTTGGCCTTTTTGAGACAGGGTCTCCCTGTAGCCCCAGCTGGCCTGGAACTCACTATGTAAACCAGGCTGGACTCAAACTCACAGAGCTCCACCTGCCTCTGCCTCCCAATGCTGGGATTAAAGGCCTGTGCCACCACTCCCAGCTCTTTTGTTTTAAAGAAAAAGACCACATGGAGACTATCAGTCTGTCAGCTGGACTCCCCAAGGACTCCAGCTGTAGGGGATTAGCAGACTGAATGCTGGTATGTGTGATTCTGCCCCTGACCACTTGGTGGTGGAGGGGAGGTTCTCTCTGTCTTCATCAGTAACAGTCATTAGTGAGGATTTTGCATCAGGATGTACAGGCCCAACCAAAAGGCTTGGTGGTGTGGATAAAAAATAATGACTGGCACAAAGTAGGCAGGACACAGGGCAAGCTGTAAAATGAGGACAGCTGTCCTCCCTTCTATGCCAAATTGTTGGAGGATTATATAAACACAAAATAGATGTTAAAGACTACGACAACCCTGCTCTGTAGGTGCTAGGTGGTGCTCTACCAAAGTGAGCCTCAGAGCCGGGCCTGGTGGCGCACACCTTTAGTCCCAGCACTCAGGAGGCTGGTCTACATAGTGCATTTCAGGCCAGCCAGAGCTACATTGTAAGGCCCCGTCTCAAAAGGCAAAAAAACAACAAAAATCTAAGACCAGCTTCAGAGCCTGACTTTGGGTTTTTGGCTCAGTCAGGCAATTCTTTGTCCATGGAGACTGGGTTGGATGGAGTCTTGAGATGTGAAAATGGCCCTCTGGTGCCTCCTTCCATGGCCAGACGCTAAGTGGTTTACAGCAAGGCTGCCTGCAGAGAGCACTTTGGGGCACAGAGGAGCAAGTAGTGTGTCAGCTGCAGCACGCAGCTCTTCGTGCAGGAAGCATCCCACAAAGGCCGCATGGGAGAGCCTTGGAGTCCAGAGCCGCAGATTGGGATTCAGCTCCTGCCTTCCAGGTCTCCCCGCCGGCCGACTGGGCTTGGTTTCTCCTGTGTCAAATAGGTGGTTGTCTCGAGGCCCAACCCACGAGTGTCTTTGGACTCCATAGTCCCTAGTTCCTGCTGCCTCTTCTCTGTCTTCACCTGTCGGGAATCCAGTGAGGCCTGAGGAGATGAGTCAGCGAGTAAAGTTGCCTGCTGCCAAGCCTGACAACCTGGGCTCCATCCCCAGCATCTACATGGTGGTAGAAAGAGAACTGA